TTTTTTTTTTATAAGATTCTACATTTGTAAATTAGAATTGCAAATTAATTAGGGGTATAAGTAAGATTCGAGATAAAGAGACGAGATAATTATTATCTGCGAATAAGAAGCCAGCTCTCCTTTGGAGCATTAATCCCTCGTGGAGGATTAATTCTCAAAATACAGGGAATGGTTGTAGCAATAAACGACGTAACGCAATTAACGTAATCGTGATCGTAAATAACTTTGAACGAGGATACAGAGTCACGTCCGATCCTAACTACAAACTTTCTGGAATCTTACATTAAATAGCAGCAGGGAAAAGTCCACCTTGCATGCAATAAAATTTTGAAAATTTACTTTGGTCACCTTAAAAACTTTTACAATTTTATTGCATAAAAATGTTTCTACAATATATAATCAGTTCCTCTAAAATTCTGCCCCTTGGTTTATAAAGTGAAAAATGTAATATTGAAACTTCTAAGAAATTAACAGAATAAAATTAAAAAATCAACCAAATTTAAATCAATGTAAACTGCAAACTCTAATCTCAAGAAATTCTAAAATAATAAGATTATTCAGTACACGTTGTAAGTATGAAGTTCTATTTTAAATGACAAATAGTCGGTAAAAAGGAAGAGGAACCTTCTCATGACTATTTAAACTAGGCGAGCCATTTAATGGAAACATGGGAAACATGGAGACATTGAACATGTTTCAAAAAATCGATAGGGGATCGACTACGTGGACACTGCACATATGTATCGAAGATACATATATACTTAGACGAGAGAGATAATACCAACGAAAGTAAAGTGAAGCCGATGTCATGCTATTAATTGATTTACTTCGCAATGTGTCATCGCTTTAATTAATGTCCTAAAGGGCCAACAAAGGCGTGTTTCTAACTTAATACGATGAGTCACCTGCCAAACCGTATAATTATGTACTACGTACTATGTACTTTGTACTATGTACAAAATAAAATGAGTTTTACAACTCAAACAAAAGGTTCATGGCAACAGGGAATTGACAACCCTCTAACTTTTAATAGCTAATTAACAGCTAAAATGTCTGTATAATAGAAAAAATAGAAAAAATGCCTGCACTTCTTCAAAGTGTTTCCAAAATGGTTCTACATACAGTCTATAGAATATATAAAATTATATAACCATAAAAATTGTACACAATGAAAGATGCTCTATAATCGAGATTATAGTTAAAAAAAAAAACTCAGACTATTTAAATAATGTAACACATACAAATAGTTCATATAATTTTTAACTATATATTGCTCCAAAATTTCCAGTTCATTCGAAATAAACGTGGTACGATGAATGAATGTCTTAAAAATATTCCCAAAGTTAGCACGAAGCTACTTTCACTACATCAAACTTTGCAGCCAGTGCAACTAGAGAAATATTGGAAGAGTTATTTATCTCAAAATTTCCGGCCAACGTCGAGAAAATTATTGAATTCCCATGGGTCACAGTTTTCTCTAGAGGCGCAGCATTAAAAGTTTCAATTTATATGGATGGCTTTCAGCTTATTTCCGACTGTAAAATCGAGTTCAGTATTCTCTGTTTCCGAAACGTTCTCTCATGTGCGCGTAATAAACACACAGAGTTCGCTTAATAATTGAATATCGGCGTAGAAAAGGCTCGTTTCGAAAGCTTCAATCGAAAGCTATTTCCATCCTTCGAATCTCCACGCTTCTCACGTAATATAAGTACGTTGGTGGTTGTGCATTGGATTTGAAAAATTTACAAACGCGCCGCTGCTGTTCTGTACTATCAGGAGCATGTGTTTCATGCCACTCGATAAGGAAACTGATAAGTTCGCTTGCCAATTAATCCGTTTTCTGCAGCAAAAGTACTAGATGTTGACTTAAAAGATTCTAACAAGAGTTCGTGACATGAATTTAGTATGAAAAATCAGAGTGAATTTTGTAGATAAAAAAAAAAGAGGAAATATTTTAAAAATATTAACTGCACAATTATTACAAATAATATAGGTAACTTTCTAATTTAGCGGCTTTCTCTAATTTTTGGTTTTTAATTTTTTTGGGGGGGGGGGGAAAAATAGAGGGAGACAACCAAAATTAGGAAAAGCTGCTAAACTAGAAATTTACCGTAATTATCAGATATTAAAGATTATCATAAATAACTGCAATATAATTATTATAAATAATTGCAAGAAGAGAAGTAAGAGAGAAGAAAGAAAATTTAATTTCGGAAAGAAAAATTAAGATGCACGGGATGTGAAATTTAATGTAGCAAAAATACTCTGATTATATTAAAAATCAATACAGAGAGATGATATTCAACTAACGCTCATATATAAAGTTTTTTAATTAACTCTATAAATCGACGATAATATTTAACTAAGAAAATATTGAAAATCGTCAATTTCCAAATTTACATGAAATTATCTTCAACCATTATTCTCGCATAATAAATGTCCAACACTTGTAATAATGGAGTTCATTTCGTCCATGAATAGGTAATATTTTTAGTACAGAGTCCAAGAATAACGCCATTTCTATCGCAATTTTCCTCCGTTAAAAAATTTAACAAACTTGGTAGATAAAACGAAATCAAATTATCATTACAACCCATAAATTCAACCACAATTGTAAACGCAAAATAAAATTAAAGAGTAATAAAATAAAATCTTATATTTCTATTAAATTTAAAAAATTGAATTTCCAATAATTAAATAACTTCAAGAAATATTTTAAAATATGTTGAAGCTGAAAAAATCAAATAGGAAAATTAAAGAATTGCAATTTTAAATCGAGCTATTAATATTCCAGTTAACTATATTTAATTTCAAATAAATTGAATTTCCATTTCTGTCATTCTATCTTATATTTTTAGCAACACTATGACTTGTTCTTTTTATGCTAATGAAATTTTTCAACGACACTTCCGATGCATCAAATAAAAATAAAAAAAATATTCAACGATCATGCTATTCTAGCCACAATCAGGATAATACGTCTGACTACATATGAAGTCACTCTACTGTGAACCTTGAGCGGGAGACTAGCGTAAAATTCGACATTTAGCGACAACAAATATGTGTATTTACTTCATTTGCAAATACGAGATCAAAAAGAGATAGTACAATTATTGAAAAAAATTCTTCTTGTGACAAAATTGTGACGAAGAATTAACATAGAGTAACTTACACGTAAAACCATGTAATTTAGAAATTCCTAGTAGGGACAATTATTTTACAGTACAATTAAAAAATTTTAAAATCTCCATAGTGGGAATTTGAAAAAATGCGATTACGAACTTCTTAAATTTTCATAATACATGTCTAAAAATCTTTTGAAGTCTATCTCAAAAAGAAATTTGTGAAATTCATGAAATAATTTTTTTGAGGAGCAACTATTGTTAAATTTTACTACTTGATTTTTTTTCTTTTTTTTTTTAAGTAAATAAATGCAGGACTTATTATAAAACTATTCGAAATATATCAAATATTTGCTCTTAGGGAAATAAAACAGATAACCTGAAGAATTAATTACTTCAGTATAACAGTCTAGACAAGTTAAATCTTTAGTGTCTGTATATTTTGTTAATTAAATTCAATTTGCTAACTTTTGCGAATATTCAGGAATATTCTACGTCGGAATTAAACTTTCAAACGCGACATGTAGCATGGATTAAATCAGAGATGCTTGAAATAGAATAAAGCGAATAAATAAATGTAAAAAGAATATAAATAAGAAATGTTATTAGAAAATCTCTGTCTTTTCTTCAGTACTTCCAATTATACAAAACAGATGTTTTAAATTCATAATTTCTTTCCTTACTTCTTTATTAATAATTTTTGATATCAATGAACAAATATTACTCGACTTTATTGAGTAGAACTAGATAAATAAAACATACTGTAATTTTTCTTTCATTCTTTTATCTAATCAGATTGAAAGAAAAACAAGGCCAATAATAATTCCAGGAAACATTTGTCGACAACATTCTTGTTTACTAAAAAAATCTGGTTTTTCAAATCAATGAATTTATCCGTGAATGTATTTAATTTTAAGGAGCCAGACACGTCAGATATTTTCCATTTTCTTTCCTCGACATTTTATTTTACTAATCTCGAAAACAAATAAGAGCAATAAAAAGCTACAAGAAACGTACGTCAACAACATTCTTTCTTCGAGCCAAAAATCTGTTTGATGAAGTACAGAGATTGCTATCAGATCAAACGACTCGAGTGGAGCAATATAACATTAACACCTGGCGTCTAGTTAATTAAACTTGCTTTACTGATGTTTCTGCAAGTCAATTAGAAACATTAGAAACGGATTCCCAGTTTATTTGGAAGAACATCAACTCGACCAGCAGACGATTCGAAGAGCCACCGCTTATGATAATGTTTATCTAGCAACGCTGATTCGAGAGCAATATTAAACTTGCCTTGGGGGCTGCGCGAATTTCCTCCGATGTCCTTAATAAAAATGCCATCTATACGTTTTATTACTTTTTGTTCTGTTTTCTTTTTCCGCGTGTTAGTTTTCTTAACAATCTAACATACGAAGGAAATGAATATTTTAAAAATGTGGTAGCAGATTTTGGAGAAAGGTTATCAGGAATTTGTTTATGCCTCTCTCGCTTTGAACTTATTCAGAATGCACTTCATTTCTGAGAACTAACTTTAAATAAATAAATACTGCACCGACGGAATCGAAAAACTGCTATATTTTTTTGCTTCGCGAGATTGTTAAATATTCCACAAGCGTTATTCTAAGACTCTGTGCTCAATGAAAAGATTTCCTGCATCTCTCTGCATTACTATTCAAAATTATAAAATTGCACTAATTCTATAAAAGGCAGTAAAAAAGTTTCAACAATTATATAATTCACCGTTAAATGCTCAGCAGAATGCCACAGAAAGTTGTCGAAAGTTATTAGCGCTTCCTAAATGAACTGGGACAATTCAACAATATCGTCGCTCCATTCTGCACAGAAATCTTGAAGACATTCTTCGACAATCCTCCAAAGTATTTTCGTGTGTCACAAGATGTAAAATTGATGGAAATGTTCGTACGAAAAGTCCAACATGCAATCCTCGATTTCCATTATAAATTACTCGAATGAACGATTTCTATCACTTCCATGAAGGAGAAGAATTGTTCTTTATACAAGACTGGCGTTCCTCTTTTTCTTAAATTCTTCTAGTGGAGAGGCGTTAACTATTTTTCTTTTTTTTTTTTTCTTCTTTATGCGTTAAGTAACCAACTGTCTCTACCAGCACACAAATACGTCCGACGCCGGGCGCCGTTTAAGCGCTACTGCTTCCTCTGGGGCTTTATTATATCGTCGAATCTTACGCATGTGCGATTTCCAAGTTACTCTCTCTGTCTTTTTCTCTATCTCCCTCTCCCTCTCTCTCATTCCACGCGAGCTATACATCCTCGTCACGGCAATACTTGCGAATAGTTATTTCCTTGTCGCTCAGAAGGTCCACCAACTGTTGCTTTTCGTTGACTCAGGTCATGAAGTAAAAAATAGAAGAGCATGTTGTTCAGACAGAGAAATATTATTTTCATCAAGTTGTATGTTCGAAAAGGAACATCGCTTCGGGCTGTGGATTTTGGAACCTGGAAAGGAAATTGAGATGTTATTTAAGTTGCATATCTATATGTAGAATAAGTTGGAGAGAAAAGACAGTTTTCAAAGATTTCAGGAATTACACTGTATGTATATTATACAAATTTCAGTGAATTTATTCTGAGAGAGATTTACAAAAATCACTAAAGAACTGGTCTGAATCGTTTCACACCGATGAAGCTTCAACTGATTATCAATCATGAAATCACACCATTGAATAAATTAAGTACTTGCTGCAGAGAGTTTTTCTAGAACGAATTAACTGTATATATATTACAAATTTCAGTGAATTTATCCTGAGAGAGATTTACAAATATCACTGAAGAACTGTTCTGAATCGTTTCACACCGATGAAGCTTCAACTGATTATCAATCATGAAATCACACCCATTGAATAAATTAAGTACTTGCTGCAGAGGGGTTTCCTAGAACGAATTAACCAATTCAGTTCTATTTATACGAAATAAACTTCTCTGTGGGTGACGCAGTCGAAACAACAGCAATCAAATGAATTTCCGCAGTTTTATTCATCTAAAACGTACGTGTGAAATACTGTGTTTCATTTCACTGATAATCCAACAAAACTGCAGTGGCAGAGAAATATTACTCTTTAGAAGCTATTCATAACAGAAATAAAATCTATTAAATAGTTATAGTGATTTACGATTTATTTTCACGTACTTTGAAAGTTGTAGAATGAAAACGTATGACGAAACGTCACAAATTGGAAATTCTTGGGCTGATCGGTATCGATTGCTGAAAGAGAAAGGGTAAAAAGGGGTCACAAAAATTATCATTGAAACCGACCACTCGAAATACAAGAGAGATGGAGCACGTGCAAGTATTTGGTGATCGACGATAACGATATTACAGAATACTGCTGATAACGATAATAATGGACTCATTGAGGTTCGATTGCAATTTATCATTAGCTCGATCGCAATTTATCAAAGCCTTATTGTCTTCGTATATCAGAGATGTTTAGGGACCATGTCAATATTTTCTATTTACGATAGAATCGAAGAACGAAAAAAGTATAACTAACAACAATTATTGTACGTTACATCCTACAGGAATAAATAATTCTCTGAACAAAAAGCGATAGGACAGTCGAATATTTTTGTACATTAAAATATATTAAAATGTTTCTAAAAACGCACACGAATGACCTTTTGAAACCGTTTGCATATTTGAAACATTCTCAGAATTTTATTAACATTACAAAAATATTAAAGTATTGGTTCGCAATTCCGCAATTTTCTAGGAAGAATACTCTGCTATTTCTTCAACAAGTTATAAAGTGGATTATTCAACCTAGTCATCTGTGTCTACATGTTTATTCGCGTTCTTTAATTAAGGAACAAACAGGATTTTCCTTCGATAAGTAAAACACACTAAATGATATATCAAACATTGCACGTATGTTGCATGCATCACTCGACTTTTATCCTGTCACAGGAAGCATAGAAAAACACCTCGCAAATTCAGAAAAACAATTCTGACAGATCAACGATCTCTCCCGACAAAAATATAGGTACTCTAAATAACCATCAGATTTCATTGATCTCAATTATCATTGAAATAAAAAGTTGTAGAGTACAGAAAAAATACATTGCTATTATCAAAAAGCCAGTTAACAATTATCCAATTATTATTATTTTCGTTATCGTACAGGAAGACAGGTGGAAAAAAGAAGAAAAGAAAAGTCATACCTTAAAGTACATAAATCAGGATTTTCTTCTTTCTCTAAAAAGGCATTACGACAGTTTAATTGACGAATCGATAACTTTTCCCATAATCTGGTTACCAGCCTATCGTTAATCTGAACAGCGCCGGTTATCATTGACATCAATTATCAATGACTAGCCATTTACTTGATACACATCGGACTGCTTATATGTAACTGCGCAGTTCTTCTATCTCTGATTTTGATTCTTCGTATTAAATGTTTCGCCTCCTGTCAAGAATTTTCTAATTAGTTAATTTCTTGGACTAC